ATATACATATATTTTATATATGTACATATATATATGTATATAAATATATATAAAACTTACATAAGTAACAAAAATAGATAAAATCAGTCTTCTTTACATTTGCCAATTCAGGATTAAATTATAAATAGTATATATACAGTAAATGCAAAGAGTATTTGTACAGGGGAGATTTTTAAATAATCTTATTTGTTGAAAAAAGAACTATTATTTATTGTAATTTATTAACCCGGCGTGAGCTAGGTTGGGTCACACCCGACACATTGATCTCTTTAACATTTAAAATTATTACAAATTTGATAAAAAAATTTTAATAAACATAATTTTTTCTTATAATTCTGAATATTTTATTTGTAGTTTTTATTTAATAGGAGATCCATTGTGTCTTATGAAGTACTTTTAGATTTAGGTACTTTTAGATTACTTTACCACTTAGCTCACGCGGGATTAATAATAAATACGTTCTGTCCTAATATAAGTATACAATTCTGTGAAAATAATCATAATGTTAGAAGATATTTCTCGACTGTACGAATACTGTTTGTGCGTTTAAACAGTACAATTTGTCATTTTTTTTCTTATTTTATTAACATATCTTTTTACATTTTTTTAGGTAAAATAATTTTGAGAAACATACAATGGATTTATATAATCTGTTTCATTCTTTGTTATTAAATTGTTAATTAGTGTGTGTTAATTCTCTAAAAACAAGGTTTTTTTTCATTGTTGTCTCCCTTGTACAAATTTACTTTTTGTATTTACTAGATATAATTCTTCAAGAATTACGACTTATTTCGATGATGAAGTTAATATTATAAAAGATAAAAAAAAACAAAATAAAGTTAAAACTTGTTGGTTTTATAATATGTAATCTGATATCGGTATTTTTTTTCTGGAAGAACACAAGGTTACATCATACAAATTGTCTAAATGCGTATATAAAAATTTTTATGTTCAAATCTAGCTTTGCGACGCATACAATACTTTGTTTCTATGATCATTATTTGGCATCTCTATGTATTATCTTGGAGACAATCAATATTTTTTTGTTATTTTAAATCTACAAAATATCGCACTGAATATTTTCGTTTAATGTATCTATTGTTTTGAATAGTTACTATTGTGATACTCTCCTATTATACTCTCAGAGTTGTTTTTTTCTTTTTAACGTGTGAGTCTACTCGATATGATGTTTTGTAGTACATGTACGTTCATCGTGAACACAGTTTCTCATAATCTCATATTGTGTATCAGTCACAGATATTAACGTTTTATGAATATTTATAACATCTATATGCTAAGGTTAATTATTTAAGGATAATATAAATTTAAGATTGCGTATAATATGCGTTCTAATGTAATACGCACTTTATAATTATACAACGACGTCAAACGCTTATTAATTGTTCATCTACTGCTATTTATCTACTTCTTACGCTTAGTTTTGCGTCGTCTGCTATCACTTCTGAAAGAATTTTGATCCCCTGATGTATTAACGCCAGCAGATTTACTATGGTTGTAGAGATTGTTTAGGAAATCCTCGAAATCCGCTT